TTCTTCACAATGTACCACCGTAAGGCGGGCCCAGTCAAACTCGCTCGGTATGATTTAATCATCATTTGGACCAGGTAGGCCTACAAACGGATCTTTGGACAAGAAGCGTTGGCATACTTTTTGCATTCGGGCATTTTGAGATCTTCCAAGATTTTAATAGTGGCATGGCTGGACAGATCAATGGGGCCTTGATCTTGTGAACCTTGCAACTGGCTAAGCTTCTCTATTAGGCTTGGTTTGAAGAGACTCCATTTGCTTCAAGAGTTGCTGAAGGACAGTGAAGACTTGCTTTATGTCATTCTCAATATTAGCAAGACGATTTAGCACCTCAGTTTGATCAGTCACTTTTGCTTAAGGCCACGTACGGACAGCTGGCGGTCAACGATTCATGATTGCCTATTTCGAGTATAATTTGTAACTACCTATCAAGAAGTGGCAATGAATAAGTATAAGACCTCATAAGGGATCAGTCCATGACTTAGTCTAAACTGTATTTTCATACTCCATTTAGTCAAGTACTTTCCCCTTCTTGCAAAAATGAGAGATGCAAAAAATTTTTTTTTTTTTTTTTTACAACAACAACCTTGTTGTCGTCTTCGGGGATTGAACCTCGGTCGTTCCTGGACCGATTCATTCCCCATAACACCAGGCCAAGGCGTTGGTAGTGTCCATGGGGCGCGTTTTTTTTTTTCATTCATTTACCAATTTTCTCTTCTTCGAAAACGACGGGAAATCGCAGAGGAAAACAGTGATTTATAACGTGCTTATAAAAATAAAGGTATGAATTGGAAGTAAATATTCTGAAAAAGTTTTAATGACTATTTCTTCCAAAATGATCATGGTATTAAATCCACAACTAACCTAGACTAATCATGGACCAATCGGAACATACGAAAATAAGTAAATTGCTAAGTGCGGGAATAGAAAACTTAGTTTACCGAGAACCATGGCAATCATAGAAACATACACATGGAACGTGAAGTTCGATTTTTGTCTAGATGGCTTTAGCAAAGTGAAGCTAAAATGATGTCTGACCGTCGCAATCTCGCGTTGGTGTTAGATCCTTTTAGCCTCGGCTCAGTCGAAAGGAATACCTTATAGTCACGCAGATAGAGACTAAAGACAGACACTTTACGACACCTAGAAAGAAATTTCGGGAAAAAGAAAGGCAGCCTCTAAAATGCAATCTCGCATTTGAGATTGTATCTTTCTCAACACCATTCTAAAATGCCCTATCGCAGCCCAGGTCCGATGGATGGTTGTGTGTGCAACAGTGTAGTGCTAAATTATTAAAGCATGCACAATAATTCGTAAACAATCACCGCTTCAAACGTTCAAGAAATAAACATTTATTCCCAAACTCCGGACCTGCAAAACAAGGAGTTAACAATCACTCCACCCCTTATCACTCCAAATCTGCAAAAACATTTAACACCTTAATGTTAAGGTCATACTTGGAATTCTCGTTGCCAAACAAAAATATTTTTTGAACAGGATAAAATTTCTGGCCTAAGTCCACTTAATCGAGAGCATGATAATATGAGATCCCCGGTGGAGTCGCCAGTCTGTCGCAACCTCCCTGCAGGCGACCCTCGACAGGCTGACAAGGGTGGTTAAGAGGCTAATGGATTGCCAAGTCTAAACCTAGGGACTTAACTCGGGCTCTCCCAAGCCCACCAACTCGCGACTTGTGGTTTAGGTTTCTTTAACCTGAAGGTGATTTTTATCTAGGAGTTGCCATTAATCAATTTATGGTGAGTCGATTAGATACCCTAGTGAGGTAGTGGAAGAATTGCTTTACTTTTACGAACTAGAGATTAAATGAGTTCGGGAACTTGTTTACACTAGTTGATTGACTAGTGCCCTTTCGATACCTTTCATCTTGTTCATTTAAGAAAAAAACATTTATCAGGCGGTTTGATCAAACGTGTGCGCAATCATTAAATTACCGATAAGTAGTCAAGATAAATATGCAGCCTAGGGTTCTAATCCTAACTAGAGTGATGACATTCAACACATGACAATTTATGCAATCATATACTAATTAGAAATAACATGCACAATAATAATACAGTATTAATAAGAAAACATCCAAAATCCTAATGTATAGCCCTATAGGCTTATTTGATTTAGACATAATCAAATAATTCACATAATTTAGAAAATTATTAAAAAAATACTAATTTCTAAACTATTTCCTAATTTTTGAAAATATATATGAAAAAACTTACTTTTTTATTTTGAAAATAATATTATAATATTATAATATTTAAAATATTCGGATCTAGGTTGGGTCATTGAATTCGGGTCCTATCAAAACTGACTCGGGTCTGCGAACCTACCCTGAATTGACTTACCTGGCCGGATTTTCGGATCCAGACTGGGTCGAGGCTAATTTGGGCCAATGACTTAGCTTTCAAATTGGATCGGGCCCGATTAGGTCCCGGCCTATTAGAAATAGAAAAAAAAAAAAGACTGGCCCAACCGGGTTGAACCTGTTCGACCGACACTGTGGACCCAGTTCGACCGGGCTGATCGCACTTCATGCATAGGGGATCCGCTGGCCGAATGAAATTCCAGTGATATACTGGTTATTTCTTTCAGCCAAGGGCTTCATCCTCTTCATCACCTCAAGTTGAAGAGGTCCTTGCATGGCCTATCACCTGATGGGGGGCCAAGGTGGTCGCCGACTGAGCTTCGATCGAGGCTCGTTGAACCAAAACGTCAGTCGAAGCTTGGCCGGCTAACCAAGGCCAACCTATGATCTTTCTTAGCCCCTAGTGACCACCACGAAACCAACCCAAGTTAGTTGATTCACCGTCCGACCACCTACTCATCGGCGAAGATCAAAACCAAACCGGTCTCACTGAGACATTTTAACAAATAGTTGGTATGCATGAACAAAATGGGGGAACTCTGACCTATTTCAGAGCCCCAGCCAGCTTCGGTGGCCACGACTCACCTTCGACGATGAGTCTGGACTAGGAGTAGAATCGGTATGGGTCAAGATTCACGCGAAATAGCTAGCACGAGTCTCGGCCAACCTGCACAGAAAAACAGGGGAAAAGAGAACACAACAGAGACCAAGAAGACTTACTGTTTAGGGACTTCTGCTCGGTGGGCTGTCAACGGCGTGGTCTCAACAGGAAAGCTCCTCTGGCTTCGTCCTTCCAATTGCAAGCGAAAGTCTCGATTTTTCTCACTCAATCTCTTTTTTTTTTCTTCTTTCTCTCTCTGCTCTGTTTTCCTTCTCTCACTTTGGCCGACCACTTCTCTCCTCTTCTCTGGTCTTTTCATAGTCGACGACCACTTGCTCCTACTACATTAACTCTTCATTGAATGGCTTGCACCGGCCTACTCTATGTCATTGACTTTTGTGGCCGTTTTAGGCAGGTGCATGGAGGGGTGCTCTACTCCTCTGCATCTCGGTGTCCATGGCAACGAGGAGGGGAAGAGAAGAGAGGGAGAGGGGCCAAGCTGAGTGGGGAAAGAGGAAGGAAATGGTTGGGTTGTGCACGAGCGAGGGGAAGAGAATGGCCGTGGCTGTCGGTCGCGCAAGGAAGAGGGATAGCATAGGTTGCGCACAGGCAAGGGGAAAAGAAGAGGGATAGGGGATTTTTTTAAAATTTTTAATTAATTTAAAATTTTTATTTTGTAAAAAAAAGAAAATATATTCTAGTAATGCAAAATGCACCTAATGTCTACAAACATGCAATTAAATAGAAAATATTTTTGTTTTTTAGAAATTAAGGACATTAACCCCTAAATATTTGCATAATTAATTCTAGGCAAATTAAAAAAATAGGTGTCAACATAGGGTTTTAACGTAACAGTTGATCATCTGCTGCTTCGTAGATCCATCTCCACCAGACTTATCCATGACAATGAACAGAGGCACCATCTCCGGAGGAAATCATTGGGCGAGAGGTCGGGCCGGAGTTCGACCTATGGCATGGGCTCGAATAATTTATTTGGGTTATTGATATTTCAATATAAACTAAATTTCATGGAAAAGAACTACGGAGACAAATGAACGTCTAGGAAGAAAAAGTGAATTAAAAAGAACAGGAAAAGATATGCGGAAGGGACTATGGCCGCTAACATGATTGACAAATTCAATCCTCGTCGCAAAACCATTTGTGCATGGACAAATATGCAGGTTTCTGAAAAGAGAATGATACAGTTAGGAATGTAAACTCGCATGCCATCACCAAACTCTTAAGTTGTAATTTCCTTGAATCTTTCGCCGAAATGCATCACCGCCTATTTCCCTTGAACAGAATGTCTAATTGGAATACTTGTTTATTGATTTTTCTAATCTATTTAGCATCACATCAAGAAAGGGCTGAAAATTAAAATGAAAAAAGGACTGAAAGTTTTAAGGAAAAAAGCGGGACGAGAGAGAGAGAAGGTTGGCGACTTCAAGGGGTGATGAGTTCCAAAGTAGATCGATCTTTTCGGCCTAGAACCGAAAAATCAACTTGGGACCCTCAGTTTTGGTCTAGTTCCCGATTTTCCTCAAGAACCGCCCACTTTATGTTTTGGGTAAAAAAACAAAATTGTTATGATAAAAAAATAAAAGTTACACCATTTCATTATAGAATATTTGTTGATCAAGTGGTTATAGTGTTATTTGTTCTAATTGAATACCTCCCTAAAACCGGCCTTGAACTAATCGATTCAAGCCAATTCGGTCCGCTTCCTGATTTTCCTCGAGAACCGTCCATTTTATGTTTTGGGTAAAAAACAAAATTATTATGATAAAAAATAATAATCACACCATTTCACTATAAAATATTTGTTAGCAAGTTGTTTGTTGTAATTGAATAACTCCTTAAAACCGGCCCTTGAACTGATCAATTTAGGCCGATTCGGTCTGCTTCCCGAATTTTAACTAGACTTGGTTGTCCTAGTGATATCTGCAACTGGCTGAGGATTGCCAGCCACTACCAGTGAATGAGTGGGGCGGGAGCGGTGCCCCCATGTCTCGAGAAAATGTTGTGTACCCCTAGTGATTCCACCGTGGAATCGTCACAACTCTGAAATGGCGACACGTGTGCGAGGGACCCACCGTGTGTCAAGAAGGCTCCACGTTGGATGAGAGATGAAAATTTTTCAATAAAATCAAGCGCCTTCTCTATCTCCACTCTCTCTCTCTCTTTGGCGCTCCCCGTCCAGATCCCTGTGCTCCGTCTCCCTCAGGCCGCGCCGACGCCGACGCCGACGCCGACGCCGACGCGGCCGCCGACGACCAACGCCCTAACCTCCGCCTCCGCCCTAGCCTCCGACGCCGACGACGCCTCCGTCGAGCCAGGTCCGCCGCTGCCCATGAGCGACGTCCGTCGCCTCCCACGAGCGAGGTCCGGTGACGATTCCACGGTGGAATCACTAGGGGTACACAATATTTTCTGCTCGGTCTCAATTTTTTTTGAATCCGTGATTTCGCTCTCAAATTTCGTTCGGTGTTCCTAGTTGCTCCGGCGCACGCTCCGTTGCCATGTTGCTGCTTCGGCTTTCCTTGCTCCCCGCCGTCACCTAGGAAGCACACCGCCCCGCTCCGACGAAGCAAAGCCCTCATCCTCGACTCTCTCCCACCGGCGCTCGCTCGCTCGTTCCGTCTCTGCTCCGACGCAGCTTTCCTTCGCTGGGGTGGCCGAGATCCGGGGATCCCATTTTGACTTAATTCAGGTAGGGATGATGAAACCTGCATTACTCTTTTTTTTTTTCTTGAATCTACATCTCTGCCATGCCCAATCAAACACTGAGATATGTTTGGAGCCAAAACTCGTACTCTGCTCCGGCGCACGTTCCGGCGCTTGATCGGTCGCCCGCCTCTGTTCTTCTCCATAAAGCCGCACGAAGCCCACTCTTTCTCTTCGTCGCTCTTCCTCCAAAGTCGTTCTTTTATTTTCCTTTATCTGCATCGACCAATTCACTACGCCATACATGCTTTGATCCACGAACATTGGTCTTTTATTTCTCTTTTCTCTTTGGTGGTGGTGGGTTCGGTATAAAATGGGGGTTGGGGGCAGAGGGAGTCCCCTTATGATTTTTTGCCACCATTATTACTGCAAATGAAAACAAACCCAAGCATGATGCTCTATTCTAAAAGGGCTGCTAATTAATTTGCTTTGTGTTTGTGTTCTTGTTTGAAGGTTTGAAGGGATGATTAGTCCGAGCCAAGGGCAAGCGGCATTGCTGACATTCTGCTCCTTCATTAGCCTTGCTAGCGTTGGCTTTGTTCTTACAATAACTGTTCCGGGTAACAACTGGCTTTGGATCATTGCATTGAGCTTTCCTTGAAGAGTCCGAGTTCTAGTGTTCCTCATTTCTGAAGAACGGAAATCACGTGTGAATATGCTGAACCCTTGATATGATATTTTGCAGTGGATCTATTGGAAGAGGGCATCAAGGATGGAGCAAATTAAGGTAAAGATGTGGCAGAAGACGGGACGCTATCAGAGATTGTTGTTCAAGGGGATGATCAGCAAGTAGAGCAGATGAGGAAGGAGCTTCAGCTCAGTGAGAAGGGAATGGTTTATGTAAAAGGCATATTCGAGAGATGACCAACACTCGCAGCAATACTTACTGCAGGGCCATGCTATTACTATGAAGGTTAATTCTGATGGTAAGGTGGATACCATGCAGACTTTGCCCAACCTAAATGAAGGTATCGAATTTTCTTGTTTGTTGGATGCTGGATTCCGAAAAAAGGTGTTTTCATATAGCTCATATATGTAATGCCATGACTATCTAGATGAGCTGCCCCAATTTGAACAAGCCTAGAAGAAAAATGCTAGAATTTGCCCAGTTGGAGCGAGCATTTTGATGGCCATGTTGGACGGGGTGAGTATTGCTGCGGGATTGTTTTCCTCGGCTGCGTCTTTTGTGTTAATGACAAGCAAAGAATCAATCTTTCAATTTCTTACTATTGTTAGAAATAGGCTGAATTCTGTGGTGAATTTGTTCTGCTGTTAAAGGCCTTAGTGAAACAATCTCAACACTTTGGTCAAACGATTCATCACTTGTCATGTGAGAGTGGTGTTTTTGTTTCTAATATGTGCCTTTTGTTGGTGCCAGCCGCGGTCAAGCATTGCCTTTGTTGGACAAGGGTCGTGAAGAGAGGGACGGCAAACAGATGTGAATTGTGTCTGAGCTATTATGGTCCACTGTCATGATAATTTATGAGTAGGTGCAGAATGGCGAGTGGTCTGGAGCTTACGTGACCAAGAATTCGGCCCTGCAATCTTTGTGGTTGGTCCAGGGTGAATGTGTTGTCTGCTGATGTATTAAAATAGGAAGCAAGGGAATAAATTTTATAAGATAAAATGTAATTCATTGCTTGTCGACTTTGGTTTCGGCCTTAGGAAAAAATGATGTATTGTTCTTGTTTGTTGTTTATCATTGTTAAGTTTAAATGAGAATGACGTGCTTCGATGTGCATAGCTCCTGTGTGACGCTTGGGTAACGCTTGGGTAACGATATTGAAGAACTTTTCTTTACGTCTATGTACCACTTATTATTCATAAACTCATAAAAGCACTGTAAAAAAAGCAAGGAATATCGAGTAAGAATAGCCAAATTTTTCTGTAGTTAGAACTTGGAAGTGTTAGGAATGGAGTGGGGGTAGGATTTTCACAGCATCTGGCAGCGCATTCAGGCGTTGTTATATTCATTCAAGTGGAAAAATATCATCAGTCAATGCTAGTCTCGCTTGATGACATCTTCCTCTGTTTCCAGTGACCAAAATAAGACCAAATCACAATGCATAGGAACGAGAACATTCCATGCCACATTTAAACTTCTAACTAGTTGAAAATGTCCGAATTTACTCTCTAAAAAGTGATTTAGCCACTCCTATTCAATTGAATTAGATGGACAAGAGAGAGGAGAACCGCCTAGGAAGAAAAAAGAGTACTATTGAGATTGATTAATCCACCTCTTTCCAAAAGTAGGACCCCTTTAACCAAAAAATAAATGTCATCAATGTCATCACAGAAAAATGGATCCTCATGGGAACAATAAGTCTAGTATCAATATGGACAAAAATCCCCCTACTTCTCATCTAAATCCCCCAAAAAAGGATGGACGTGCAAAAAGTGGCAACCCATGTTTGTCAATTCGTAAAGACCTAAACTTAGCCAACGTGGTGGTAGTCTTGTGTACATTATGTTTTGGGTTACATCTCTGATGAAAACATCGAAACATGTTTGAGCAAATTCCTTTCATCAGACTTGTCTGTCCAGTTACCATTTTGTCCCTGTGGGAACAAACGGATGGTGGAGGGATCGTGTAGACCTCGCTCCTCCTTGCTCAAGGCCACAAGCAGCCAAGACAGTATGAGCAGAACACCTCGCTATTTCCTTAAACTCACCATGACCTGCATCGATGATTATATCGATAAGTTCACCACATGCAATGCACCTTGCCCATCTAGGAAAAAGCAAATGCAATAAGCACTTGAAAGAAAGCGTCATAAAGAGAACAAGCATGGGATTCTAGAGCATAAAATGCATAATAATAGGACTAAAAATCTAGAAGAACATATACATAACTCGCATACCTAAACCAATTTCTCTCGAAAGGCGTTTCAAATGGCTTTTGACCATTGATTGCAAATCCTCTTTTGCTCTATGAAAATGGCTATCTTCTCTTCCTACATAAGGAGATGCAGCCCCATCAGAACCGAGGCTAGATCGACTGCTGGACTGATGATGCTGGTTAGGAACTATAGTTGAGCTCATCCCCGTTCGTCCCGAAATGCCTGGCCAGAACTACTGGGAGTTGGAGGGGTACATGTAAGCTTATGGTCGTTGACTGCTTGCCTTCTCAAGTGACCTGCTCCCAAATCAAAGCTATCCCTACTTCGAACCAAAGGTGACTGATTTTCCTGTACTTTCCCCTCGAATAGATTAGCATAAGACTCTCATTTCTTGGGCAGTATGATGAGATCCCATTTGCCTACCCTGATCAATGGAATAATTTAGTGGTTCAAACCAAATACTAGCAGAAGTTGTTCTGTCTGCTCTTCCAGCCACAGGACTTGGTCTATTTCCAGAGCGCATCTGCTGAATCTGACGAAATAACCATCTCCTTCCCGATAATGCAACATCAACAAAAGTGAGGCAACTTGTACCTGACTCAAAATGTTTCCATGGGATCTATTATGGTACTCCAACATCTATCACATCTATCAACAAGAAACCATTATCAATAAGCATTAAAATAGTTTACTAAAAATGAAACAACATTGGGATCTAATATGTCGGGAGCAACCTATAAGCACAAAGATGCGTATGTTGAAAAGTTTAGTTCATTTGATCATCAAGAAAGACGAAAAAGCCTGGTTGAGTGTGTTTAACACGACAAAAATAATTCCAAACTGCTATTATTTTTTCTAAGTGACGTAACTTCTGGGAAATGGAAATGTTTAGTTTGTGGATGTGTGCATGCAGGATGACATCTAATTAACTTGATGAAAACGGTAGCACCATTTTGATATAATTGAGAAGAAGTGAAGACATTAACTCTAGCACCATTTTCACTTTTCAGCATAATGCAGGGAACTGACCTATCTCTCAAAGCCACTGGGAAAAGCAATATTTCAGCAAATCTGTGACAACCATTAACATTAACCGTAAGGCTCTAACCTGAAAGCCCTTGTACTTTATAATTTCTTTCGCTCGATCGAGTATATGTAAAAATCAATCATGATTCAAATGAACAATATCTCCGGTATGTAGCAGGAAAATCAGGTGAAAATAGTTCTTTAACTGAAAAGCCAACAAATATAGCACAATTATGGAATCCCCAGAAGCCAGAAAGAAGTAAAGAAACACTAGAAGAGTACTCTAAGCATGGAGGTCATATGCAACCTATGAAACCAATTTATGCAGTTAATAAACAGACACAGTACTGCAGTTGGAAAGTAATTCAAGCACATCAGTATGCACGTGGTTCTTCTCCAGAAGTTAAAACAAATCTAGCAAAACAAATTTCTCACTACCTGCTTGAAAGTCCAATGAGAAATTCAAACAAAAAAACAGAAAATTTTACCTTTCGGATTTGAAAGTCCTCGTAACAAAAGCTCGCCACTACTGCCTGGAGGCAAGAAGGATCCAGTCTTGCAACCCAACACCTTGGCTTGCATATTTGGAGCCAAAAGTCCAATGGAAGAAATTTTTCGACACTTCTCAGTATTCAAGCCTCGGGTTCCAACTGCAGTTGACTCGGTCATGCCATAACCCTGCCAACCAGCATAATCAATGGCAGAACATGCCTAAAGAGCAGAAATCCTTGTGGTCACCCGACATACAAACATGGCTCATCAAGTGATGCCATAACAAGTTCAAATTCAATCAACTCAAAATTAAAATTTTCCATCTTAAAAGTATTATAAAAAGGGTAAAAGAAATCAAGACTTCAAACATATCTCAGTGTTTGATTGGGCATGGCAGAGATGTAGATTCAAGAAAAAAAAAAAAGAGTAATGCAAGTTTCATCATCCCTACCTGAATTAAGTCAAAATGGGATCCCCGGATCTCGGCCACCCCAGCGAAGGAAAGCTGCGCCGGAGCAGAGACGGAGCGAGCGAGCGAGCGCCGGTGGGAGAGAGTCGAGGACGAGGGCTTTGCTTCGTCGGAGCGGGGCGGTGTGCTTCCTCGGCGACGGCGGGGAGCAAGGAAAGCCGAAGCAGCAACATGGCAACTAGGAACACCGAACGAAATTTGAGAGCGAAATCACGGATTCAAAAAAAATTGAGACCGAGCAGAAAATATTGTGTACCCCTAGTGATTCCACCGTGGAATCGTCACCGGACCTCGCTCGTGGGAGGCGACGGACGTCGCTCATGGGCAGCGGCGGACCTGGCTCGACGGAGGCGTCGTCGGCGTCGGAGGCTAGGGCGGAGGCGGAGGTTAGGGCGTTGCTCGTCGGCGTCGGCGTCGGCGTCGGCGCGGCCTGAGGGAGACGGAGCACGGGGATCTGGACGGGGAGCGCCAAAGAGAGAGAGAGAGTGGAGATAGAGAAGGCGCTTGATTTTATTCAAAAATTTTCATCTCTCATCCAACGTGGAGCCTTCCTGACACACGATGGGTCCCTCGCACACGTGTCGCCATTTCAAAGTTGTGACGATTCCACGGTGGAATCACTACGGGTACACAATATTTTCTCCCATGTCTCCTCCCCTCCTCTCCCCGGAGTCACATATCTCTCTCTCTCTGTTATTTTGAATCTTTTCTGACTTGGCAATCACTTGGTGCCACATCAACATTGTATGTCTGCAAAAAACAAGAAACATTAATTAAATATGCCAACAATGATTTTTGTCCACTAGAAATTGACAAAGCTAATGGAATCCCTCACATGCTTTTTTAGGCAAGTTTTAATTGAAAAATGAACGAAATAAAAGTCTAAGACTCAAATATATAAATGACACCAAGACTTCTGTTGTCACTGTCCTGGCAATTGTAAATTTCACATACAAAACCAGTTTTTTTGTTGGTCGGTAGACACAAAACTAGTTGAGATGTATAATAGGAAGCAATGTGATTAGGTTATACTACACGATCTATTTGATATTCTAAAAGGAAACGAGCCAAACTACTGGAGATTTCTTCTTAGGTTACTTGTTGGTTCTTCCGTCCCCAAAGGCACGAGGCAAAGAAGGCTTGCTTCTCCTTATTTAAAAGGAAAAGATCAATTACTTATGCCATGTTAAGTACTCATTCTTTAAAAAAAGGGTTAATATCACGAAAAACCTTAAACTAGTATACCTATGACAAATTTACTCCAAACTAGTTTTTCGATTACCAAAAACCCAAAACTGGTACACCGGTGATAAATTTACCATTCGTGAGTTTCCATTAAATTATACTGTCAAATTGCTAAGTTGGATAACATATGACAGTTGACTGGTAAGTTCACGTGGAAATCCAAATGGTTAATACCACGAAAAACCTAAAAGTGGTATATCTATGACAAATATACCCAAACCAACTTTTGGGTTATCAAAAATCCCAAACTAGTACATATGTGATGCATTTGTCCTCCGTTAGTTTTCGTTAGTTAACATGGCAAGTCCATGTGTAAATCCATAACACCATTCTCTCTCTCTCTCTCTCTCTCTCTCTCTCTCTCTCTCTCTCTCTCTCTCTCTCTCTCTCTCTCTCTCTCTCTCACGGAACACAAAAAACCCTAGATCATCTTCCTCTTCATCGAATCCTTCATCGTCGTCTTTGTCTAAGGTCATAGAAATTGAAAACACAATTTAGCGAGAACTCTTTAATGACACTTTCTTATTAAATCTAGGTCAATGAACGAAGCAATCGGGCTGAGTTGTGATGTGCAATCAAGTTCCTTTTCCAGATTTCTCTAACTTCACAACTATATCATCAATACCTTAACTTTTTTTCATTCTACTTCACTACAAAATTTTACCAAGAAA